CGAGAGACCAATCAACCCATGAATGCCATCACCCCTTACGTCGACATTGGATCCACTTCTGGCCATAACTGGTCAGGAATCGAAGCCGTTATGGAAGCGTACGACAGATATTCTTATGGTATGTATTGAATATAAAATTGTTTAGAAAACCGTTTTCTTATTTAATTTAATTAAATGAAAACACAGAACGAAAACAAGAGAAAGACTTTCTCTTTGAAAAGAGTCACGAATTGAAGAACAGATTGCAAGACATCAACAAAGAGGCAGAATATTTGAGTNAATTAAATGAAAACACAGAACGAAAACAAGAGAAAGACTTTCTCTTTGAAAAGAGTCACGAATTGAAGAACAGATTGCAAGACATCAACAAAGAGGCAGAATATTTGAGTCAACAAATGGCCGTAAGTTTCACATCTCCCTTAAGATTGTCTTATCTTAACCATTGATACAATTGACATAATTCTTACCATTTAATTGGTTTTCAGAATTTAATTCAAAACAAATCACATTTGGATGAAGAGAAACAACGATATGAAACCACTTTAGAAACTCTCAAAACTTGTTTAAGACAACTGCGATGACTAATATCTAAAAGACAATTAACTAATGATTATAGTTTGCAATTATTTTATACTTTTTATTATCAATGACTTACCGTTACATGACTTAAAATAAAAACAAATATTCACTCAATGAAAGTGTATTCAAATGTAAATTGTATTAAATGTCTATACTATTCATAAGATAATCATTTTTTATAAGATTAAAAATATATTTAAATAATGACTTCAATTTGATTAATAACTTAAATTTTGTTATCAATAAAGTAATATGAAATATGATAAAAATATAAATGTTCATTTATTTATTTATTCAAATTTTAAATTCACAATAATTTAGTGGAAAATTATTCATAAATGCATACATTGCTAATGAATAAAGTATAGGAAACTTGAATGAATAATCTTGAAACTTGAAAACCTTTACATTGAATCTATGTGTGCAATGATGTGAAGTCGCTTTTGGGGATTCAGTAGTACTAACAATGTATAATTTATTAACTTGTTTATAATTTTTATTTTCCAAGTTATTCACAATTCTATAAATTATAATTTCAATTTATAAAACAATATGAAATGAATGTTATATCACTTTTACCAGTACTGTAGCGATATAATGAATTGTATGGTTGGAAGTGAGGATATGACTGCCTTATGACTAGATATAGATAGTCTTATGTGACATAACTTACAGTTAACTTATTGGTAACTAATAGTAATCCTAAACCCTTTAATCTTTTAAGTGACAGTAATAGTGTTGGGGTGAACTGAATGTGATGTCATATTAGGGGCCCTTTATGTCTGGGCTCCGGTATTACAACTCAAATATAGGTCTTGAAGGGAAGGAGAGGAGGAGTTCAAACGGTTGGCCCCACTGTTAGTGAGGGACTTGTGCTGAGCACCGGAAGCTATAATGCTTTTTAAACATCTGTTTCTGAACTTTAAATTTAAGAGCAAAACAATTTGTGGCACAAAATGAGTTGACTTTTGAGACACAACACAACCATTTCATCGATTGCTTCAAACATAACAAGAATTTTAATAATTTATATAAAAAATAATTTATTTTTATAGATATATTAGTTATTAATGTTTTGTTGAAATAAAACTAAAATATTTTTTCTGTGCATTCATGAAGTGTTAGTGGAGTGAAGGAAAGGGAGGCCAGGGATGTGTGAGTGTGTGTTGTAGTGATGTATCGGATGAATGAGTGAATGAATGAGTAGTTTATCGATTGAAGGCTTTGTCGAAAGCGGTCTCCACTTCTGTACTGATATATCACTCAAAACCACTCAAACCTCACTATCATCTCCGCCTTCATATGTCTTGTGCGCCGCCATTACACCAGACCTTCGCTTGTGAGCCACTCTTGACATCTGTATCGACACAATCGACATCATCCACGCCATCGCTCACTAACTCTTCCAAACACTATCTCCTCTATAATGAGGAGAAGGCATCACAACAAATGGATAACATGTCAGACGTGTCAGCCCTCGCACCACAAAACAACTCTTCTTCCAATTGCTTCCAATTCCAACTCTTCGGTGATTATCTTTTTTTTACATAAACTATTCGCTAATCACTTGATTCGCTATGTTTTATAAATTACTAAAACCTAAGAGGAATTCATTTGACTTTAAATAATCTTTGAAATTGTAATCATTTTTAACAGTGAATTAGTTTTTGCCTCAAAATATTTTACTGTTAGAGTAATTGTATTCATAATTGAATGCAAAATTAGTTTTAAGAGTACAGTTGTGGCCATTCGTGTGAATCCTTATTACTGTATAACGGTATTCATCACATGTATGTTCACAGTTTGGTTCTACCTATAGCTCACACACAGAATGTGTCAAGAAATGCATAAATAATTTTCAATTCATAATTCATACACTTTTACTTATTATTATTATTATTGTTGTTGTTTATTCTTGACATATTTATTCCCTTTAATAAACTATTGACAGTAATTTAAATTTAATACTTCTGACAAATAAATAGCCAAATTATGTCAAATATTTGCATTACGTTTTAATGCATTAATTTTCTTTGTTTATTCTTGACATATTTATTCCCTTTAATAAACTATTGACAGTAATTTAAATTTAATACTTCTGACAAATAAATAGCCAAATTATGTCAAATATTTGCATTACGTTTTAATGCATTAATTTTCATCTCATAAGTCAAATACCGGTATATTATAAGAGAATGAATGGAAATGATTTATTTAAAGTATAATCCGATTAGAATGAAACAATCTTGATGATTTAAATAAATATGAACAGATAATTGATGTGATATTGGATTGTTGTCAGTTCATTATAAGATGTTGTATTTGCCATTAAAGAGTCTATTATTAGTTGAAAACAGTTCTAATATAATGACAACTCTTTGAATTAATGAAAAATCTATTGTCGACCCATTGTTCACAATATTGTTTGTCACAGAAATGCCAAAAAGACAAATGACTTGACCTATCGATTAATGGCTCAAGTCTTGAGTCAAATACTGTCTCACATCTAAATGTCGTTATCTTAAGCACTGGTGCCCAGAGGGAAGTCTCAGAGAATAGTGTATGTGTTTTATTTACAGAATAATATATAAATGCTAAAATGTGCTATGTAACTTAATTATCTGCAAAATATGCTTGTTAATATTTAGCTATTTTAATTCATATTATATATTTAATATATTATAAATATTGCAAAAAATAGTACACAAAATATATAATACCAGTTTTATCATAATTTAGGATCCAATATATCGTTTAAATAAAAATATTTGGTGTTTCAATGTTCATTCAAATTGTATTCCTATAAAGAGATTAATTATTGATAGGAATACAGAATAAAAGTCAACAAAAGTGACACATCTTTGAGAGGCAGTGAGAAGGAAGGGATCCCTGGGCTGTAATGATGGCATTCATTCAGATTTGTCACGATTTGGTTTATTATCGATTTTCTTGCATTTAATCTAAAGTGCAATACAGGGCTCGCACACTATCACTACAACCACTGCTAACAGTGATAATCGTTTTAAATCTCAAATAGTATTTCCATTTGTAGTGCTTGTTGTGTAGCAAATAAAATACATTTGGAGTTTTGTTATCATCAAAACATTTAGAAGCGATATATAATGTACTATAATGTGGGCTATATTTAAATAAGAAATCTTGTCTCCATTATTGGCATTAATTTGTTATTTTGTTTTGAGTATAAGTATGAGTAGATGCGAGAAACGGCACAAACGCCAGGTGTGAATGCATGCAATCTGTCTGAACGGCAGCTGCAGTCCACTCACTGTTCGCTCTGTTATGTTATATAACTGTTAATTATTACAGACTTAGCACTGCTTTTCGTTTTAATACATGAGATTACATTATGTATCAAATCAGGTCTCGACGCACACCATAAATCATCGGCTCTGAGCACATCCAATACATCCCATATTTCAACCATCACTTCGGCCGGTGGTGTTGAGCGCAAAATGGCCACAGTTTCGCCTTTCTTTCAGGCCAACCCCCCTCCCGTCCCCGTGCAGGTACAGGTGCCCGGCCTTATAGTCCCCATGATATCAGCGCATAGAAATACCGGCGAATACCAGAACGCGATGTCCGGCTCGGCTTTGGCCGCCACCAGGACTTCCAGTTTTGCGGCCGCTCTCAGAAAGTTAGCCAAACAGTCATTCGATCCAATGATTGCCGATTCCGGACCACAATCCTCTCCATTGACTCTCTCTGTCAGTCATTCATCCGCTTTAAGCAACAGTTCCAACACTTCTTCATTTCAATCACACATTCAAAGCATTGGATCTCATTGTCAACCCTTTGGGTAAAGTTGTGTTCAATTATTTATTAATTAGTATTTCAAGTACAGAATTGTTCTCAAGTATTGCCAACACTTTCAAGCTATCAGTTATGGACAGGGATCTCATTATGAGAACTAATATAATTTATCCGTTTTTAAACTATTATAAGAAGTGGAAACCTGTATTTCTGAGAATTATGTTAAAATTATGATTGTTAATTTTAATCAAATCTAACAATCTTTTACACTTTAAAAGAGAGCGTTTAAGCAAAACAATGATTTACTTACTGTAGTGTACGCTACTGTACTGTATAGATAAATTGTTATACAATACTTATAGGTGACATTGTCAATTTTAGTTATTAATAATAACTTATTATTAAAGGGCAAAAATGTTTAGGTTATACTGTATATCTAACATGATCCTTTTATTGCATTATCAATCCTTAATAAAATGAACTAAATTGACTAAACTAAATCTATGTTGGGAATTTCAATTCAATTTATAGTATATAAATTTTATACTGTATTGTACAGTATAATATGATTGTTAAAAATATATTCATTGAGTTTCTTGTAAATGATTAAAAGAAAGTGAATTGGTATGATTTATTCTAGCCATATATAAATATGTTTGCATTCTTTCTATTAACATAATTTATATAATTGATGTTTTATCAGTGTAAATGTGTTATTATAGAAATTATAGCTTAAAATATTGCTTAGTTATTTACACATGTCAGATGTTTTTAGATAAAATTCTTGTGACTAATAATATACAGATCATAGAAACGTGCATTGGTGCCAGGATATAATTTACTTATTAGGGTAAAAGTATAGTATAACATTAAGAATTACAAAATTAATGCAACTATTCTCATGTTAATGTATAGTGCAATGCACTGAAGTAAGATTACGGGGTCAAAAGGGTTACGAGTTTGTGAAAGTTGTCAAATTAATGATTAACTAAAATGATACTGATCAGTGATCATAATCAATAAAAGTATCTTTTTATTATTTTCTAATCAATACTTTAGGAGATATATGAATGGAATGGTGGGTCCATCGCCACCAATAGTGACGATCGCACCGATTCCGGCCCATCAGAGCGATAGGAGTGAAGGGTTGAG